TATTGGCCATCCATAGAGAAATCATTTGGGAATATAGCCATGGCCAAACTTCATTGGGAGAAATGCACTTAAGCCTATAAAGGTCAATGTACATCTTGAAAGGTTGTGTCATTGCAGGAGTTGCAGCTCTATTGACTACTGGCTGCATCTCGACTGTCGCACAACTGGCTCCAGAGAGGCCAGGCAAGGTTTGTTTTCCTGCTCTCTTAAGCACACAGCACAACAAACATTTGACAGCAAAGACATGAGAGCCTGCAAAGTGTTCAGAACATGGACTTCAGTCACATGGCAGCAGCATCCTTTCATTCCTGACCCTTGTGACACGTTTTAGCAAAATGTAATGCATTTCATAGATAAAGGCTCTGCTAAAGCTAGGCTTGAGGTATGACATGCAGGACTCAGCAGGGCTGTGGAACCCAAATTCCAGGTAGAGCTGGGATGGTGGCAGAGTCCTCAGCAAAGGCACAGTGTTTCTGTACATGCCAAGACAAGGCACAAGGGAACTAAGGCTTTCCAGCGAATACGGGGGAGTGTGAAGGAGGAAAGTTTGAACATGTATGTCAGACAAATTTCTTTTAAGGAACCCGAAGTGGCATGAAAACTTTGGCCTAAGTAGCAGCAACCAGTATCATCCCACTTCACATGGCACAACTCTTACCCCAAATACCCCACCCAGAGGTTATGAGCACACAGCAGCTCAGACCCAGAGCAGATCAAATAACAAATGTCTAGAAAGAACCACATTCCCCCAAGTTTTTCCCAGGGGCTTAGGAAAGAGTAAAGAACGAGTCCATGAGACAAGCTCAGGCACCACAGGGAGAAGAGATGCCCTGCCTGCTTGCAGGGCTGCCAATGCCAGCATGACTCAGTCCTCAGGTGCAAGCAGAGCCCAGGCCAGAGCAGCCAGATGGACAGGACTCGGTGGGCTGGAGCTGGAGGAGCTGAGGAGAAGGACAGCCTGTGGGAGACATTGCAATTCTCTGTACAAAAAGCCTGAATTACACACTGTCCTGGGATCCAAGGGACAAAGCTCAAAGCTGCTCATCTGGCAGCAGCGAAACTTCAGCAATGAGCAGCACAGGGAGTTTGGAGAGAGGTTGCTTTTGGGTAGGTCCCATGCAAATTAAGCCTCTTAACCACTACTGAGAAAGCAACCGAGCAGAACAGCATTTCTGCAAAACTACTTTAATTTTGTTGAATTCACTTCCCTACATAACACAACTGACAAATAAACAGAAAACACGATCTTTTAATAAATACAACATTTGCACCTTTTAAAGATCTTGCAAAACCTAAAACACAGGTTTGATTCCAAACAGTAACAGAGGCAAAAAAGAAATCCATTTCCCAAGTCATCCATCTGTGCTCACGCTCCACCTCAGCAGCTGTAGAGCTTCAGTTCTGCCTAATACCTCTCCAGATTTATTGGATGCCCAGCTAAAAAGCACTGATTGTTCCCTGTTGCAGTATTTAGCCATGGGTGAGGAATGTGGGAGGGTCCCATAATATTTTTATGACTATTATATGACCTTCTGTTAGCTTAATGGGATAAGTCACAGGCCCCTCCCTGAAAAGAGGGCAATAATCCCTTGAGATGTAGGCTCATGGAGAGGCATAGAGGTCAAACCAACACTGGAGCCTGAACACTGTTAGGAGTTTTAATTATGAGTTATGAATCTAGGTACTATAGGTTGCTATTTCGGGAGCTGCTAAATTAACATGCAAGTAAGAAACAGGAGGATCTTCTCAAAAGATAGGGCACTTCTGCCTCCCACTCATTAAGGGATGTGAAACTTTCAAGTTCTAACAGCAGTGATTTGTGGTGTCTGATTTATCAAGGTCATAGAGCACCAAGGCAAAATCTTGCCTTCAGTACTGTCTCTCCTTGTGCCAAGGGGAAAGCTAATCCTCCAGAAAATATCTCACCAGCACAGATAATATTTCTTAAAATAGGATATCATCTCCCCTCAGTTCACTTTTCACCTGGAGGAGTAAAATTGAGTGGCTTTTGACTGAAGCTAGATGATGCAACATGTCTCATAAGAAAATGCTGCTAGATTCAATCTGAGTTTTGCAAGCAGACATAAACCTAAAGCAAGAATAACTTCTGCTAGAAGTGCAAATATGAGAGTAAGAAAGCTTGGAGTCATTAAAAGAGAATTTTGCCTCTGGTCAAGACAACTTTTTTCTGCCTTTCTGAAAAAGGCTAAAATTGCCTTTGAATTTCGTGCCAGAGTTGAAACAAATTTCATCATAGGCTACAGGAGATTCAGAATCCTGTGTTACATAATCATAGGAAATTTCATATCCATCCACAAAATGCTGTCACAGATATTCCACAAGGATGCTAAGTCACTGAACTAGGTACAGTAAATGAAATTTGTATCTGCTTGCACTCTTGAGAGGCAACCTTAGCATCAAAATAGGCACGCTAAGCCCTAGCTCCTCTCAGGGCTCAGGATATTCCAGTGTGGATGGGAAAACCCCATTCCCAGGAGAGTGACTGGGGTTTCTGTGGGACTCACCATGGTTGTGGCTGCAGAGAGGGGAGGGTTTCAGCACCTTTTTTTAACAGAGCACTGCACTATTAGGAGCCTTGAAACATGACCTTCCTGGGAACTGCTGCATGCGTTGACTCAAAAGAAGCTGGCAGTTGGGTACAGACCTGTTTCAACCTCAAAACCATGCTCATTTCCCCCTGCTTCCTTTTTTTTTTTTTTTTTTTTTTTTTAGTTTCTTTTTAGGGCTGGTGGGTGGGGAAGTACTGTTTCATTCTCTTCATAATTGCAGCATGTCCCATCAAAGCACAGGAGGGCAATTTATATCCTCCAGGGGAGGGACTGCTGGCACTCAGCTCCTGGAAACAATCAGCAGGCCTTGGGCTGATCCTCAAGCCCTCTTTGCTTGTGTGGGGGCAATCCTAGCCATGGCAGGGAGGCACCTGCTGCCCTTCCTGCTCCCAGTAACCACGGCTCACAACCAGCCTCAATCAGCAGCTACACAAATCTACCAAGGCCAAGAGTGATGAGCAATAATTTAGTACCAGTTACATCACCAGCTCGGGTGAGCAGCACCACCTACGCTCAGGACCTCAGCACCACCAGCAAAGGCCTTGTTGGTGCAGGATGGCCAGAGAAAACAGACCCTGGAGCTTGAAGAGTTATGTACTTGAGACTCATGAAAGTTTAATTTTACTCTGCTTATAGTTACTAATGGAAGAAATGAGTTGCCCTGAATGCAACATTTCTACCAAATACATTTAAGGTGAGAAACAACCTTTTAGTTGTAGCCAAAGCTGTTTGTTATCACAGACCACCTCCAGTAGGCCTTTCAGGTGAGAGGTTCCTAGAGCTGAAGTAGGCTGTGTGCCACTGGAGATGGTGGCAGAAACAAATCCACCCCGTTCCCTCCATGTGTGTAGGGTGTGGGAGGAAGATGAATGGATAATCAACTCCCAGCTGTCATCAAATGATTTATTTTTTTTAGGGGGTAGTTGAGGTGGGAGGGGACTTTTCACTGGGGGAGTGAATCACAGCAAATAATCTCCTGGGTGAGCACTTGAGAGACCTGAGTTAAAACATTGTATCGAGAAACCTCAGGCCTAACTCTGGTGAGACTTATGTGGTGACTGAAAATTTCCAATTTATTGGGAATAAATATATCCAGAATATTTTTATCCATTGGGATAAATATAGACAGATATATAGATGTCTTATAGTCCATAAGACTTGGGTTGGTTTTGCAATTTCAAGTTATATTCAAGTAAGAATGTTTGAAGAACAGCCTGAATCTGATCTGGGTTCATACCCAAAGGTGATCTCAACTTCTGGTCCTTTTGCTCACAGCAGGAGAGTCCGGCATTCATGGTCACACAGCTGAGCAAGCCCTGGAGTTACCTCCAGCCTCCTCAGTTTTCACTCATATCTCCCCCTTAACTTCCATATATTTTATTCTATCCTCATTTTTAGCTTTCTAATTCCATGGTGGCCTCTCAAACTTACTAAATATAGATGTGTGGACCCAGCTATGTAAATAAAGTGGCCCATGTGGTGAGCATACATGAGGGCAGGGGGCCTTTCCCATCGATGGGAGGGCTGATTGCCAAGCAAATCCCAAGCTCTGCACTCCTGCACAAGAAAATGGAGCGTAAGATTTAGGAGCAGTCACAATTTATCTTGAAACAGCTGATATTTTCTTCTGCCTAGGGTAGAAAATGACAGGCAGTGGCACACCAAGATCTGCCTTCATCACCAGAAGACAAAGACATGGAGGAGAGAGGGTCAGGGGACAGAGAGATATGTAGGGAGGAATTTTATGGATAACTGGCAGAAGGGATTACCAGTTTTACTCTTGTGTTGCTGATATATGTGCACATCAGTGTTCATTGGAGTGCACACCTTATGGGGACAGTTTGGTATAATTTGAGTGACTTCTTTGTTCCTTCCTGAAACAGGAACACCTCAGACTTGAAAAACAACTGATGAGGCAGTTTAGGCTGCCAGACAGCTGTGCCTCCATTTCCTGTGCAATATCCCACAGTGGTACAGGATCTGCCCCTCTGTCAGAGGGATGTGTCAGGGTCTGCATGGTGGGTGGTGGAACTGGGTGTGAGGAGTGCAAGCTCTCTTTGGTGCACGCTCTCTGTCCGATAAGGGTGACTTTGCTATCTGGCCCACAGTGAGTCTCTTCTGACACAAGAGATTTTTGTCAAGCAGGCCCCTCTGACAGTCCTCTGTGCCATCCCATGAGGGCAAAGGAGCAGGAGGAAGGTGGTCCAGGGCACACAACTTCCTCAGATTGTGAGTTCTCAGGGTGGGATAGCAGTGAGAGCACGTCCTGGCTCTGGCTCACTGTCACACTAACACAGCACTGAGCCCACTCTTAACCTTCAGCAGGCACAAATGAGCTCATGCCAGGTTCAGGGACTGGATCTCAGTGCAAAGGGAATACTACACAGCCAGTGGGACCCAGGATTGCAGGGGATGTCCAAGCCAGGCAAATATAATACATGGCAGAAATTTATTCCCATTACCACAGACTCACGTGGTGTGATGAACAAATTCAAATCCACATCCCAGCTTTCCAGCTAAGGCCAGGACTATCTCCTCTTCTCCCTTCAAATCACACTAACCATGGCAGAACTGCAAGGTTTGCAGAGGTAAGCACCCAGTGCCTAGGGAGAGAACAAGCTGGTGTCTGGGGTGTCTCCAGGGACTTGACCTCACCCAACCTCCATCTCCAGGAGGTCTGTCTCCTTTGGTGCTGCTTCTCCTTGCTCTCAGCCTTTTCCTATTCCCAGCCCCATCTAAGGGTGATGTGACCCAACTTCTGGTTTTAAAGTTATATGCTTTAAAATATAAAAACTTTGAAACTCTTTCAGACAACACAGTAAAAGAGGTGATGGATCCTGCTATGCTTGTTTGCTCTGCAGCCTTTGGGAGGCAATGCCAAGTAAAACGAAGCCCCGGAATAAATCCTACTAACGGGAACACTTACAAATAACCTCAGCTACACAGCTTCCAAGACCTTGAGCATTTCTACATCTCTGCAGCCAAAAACATATGTTTTGTGTTGCTTCACATAAATCTCCCTGGTTATTTATCTACATAAACCCTTCTATAAATTGCTCTCTGGGACTAGAAATGCAGCAAGCAGGCTCTTTGATGTATCTCAACCTCCAAGTGCATAAATCACTGCCATGCACACCTTGTTTGCTCCCATGCAGGGAGAAGTTACCAGTCCCCTTTGACAGAAAAGAGGGCAAAGAGTCAAATGGTTTTGATGGATGGATGAACGTCTGTGGGATAAAGCTCATGCAGAGAGCTTGTTTATACTGAGTTACTCCCTCCTCCTACTTACTACTAAAACACTGCTCCACCAGCCTTCCTTATGAAATATACTCCAGTCCAAGAGCCTGCACATGAATATTTGATCTCTTTGTGAGCTCCTTTTACACTACTGCATTTCCTCCCATGGTGGCAATTTCTTCTTTACAGGAGTAAGTGAAACAACAAATTTTGTGGTGTTAAGGTGGTATTTTTGTCTTGTTACAGACCTGCTCCACACAGAGGTGGATCTCACCCTTCATTATGGGAGCACAACTTTTTTGTTCAGGGAATGAATCATGGGTTTAGGTTAGAGCTTAGCTAAGTAAGTTCCTCGACTGAGAGCTAGCACTGTATTACACAAGGGAAGTGAAGGAGCTAGCACTGTATTACACAAGGGAAGTGAAGATTTACAGACAGGTAGGCAAGATTCATCATCCTTTAGTAAGCTATGCTGCTGACAATGCAGTGTGATGCTATCTGGACTGAGGCATCATCCCACCTCAGTTTCCCCATTCAAAATAAAATTCATCAGTGCAATAGAACAACTGAGAATATTTACTTTATGTTGACACAGCACTCCTGCTGGCCTCATTGTTGGGTCTCAGTGATGAGAGCCTGCACATATAGAACACTGTAACATGTCACACCTACTGTGACAGCCCAAAGCTCACATCCACTGCCAGCTACTGAGGAAGGAATTGGCTGGCTTTGGGAGCAAGCTACAGTCTTTATTCAGGGGTGCCAGCAGCTGAATGGCATATTCGGACAGAAGATGTGTGATTGATTTCATCTCTTCTTCAGCTCTGTGTAAATCAACTGAGGCTACTCTGGACGATCTCGTGTGTAATTTTTCTGCCTCTGCACTGCTGCTGTGTTGTTACCTTTGGTGCCCCCTGGACTTTGGTGTTTTGTGACCTGTGGTGTGGGGCTGGACTTCTTTTACTATGGTCCACTGCTACAAACAACACATTGTCATTATTAAAGGTGTGGATGGTCTTTCAATCATCATTTACCTCCCTGTTTGATTACTCCTGTCCTATGAGACTTCTTTTGAGGTGAAGAATTTTTCAGTGTCAGTGGGAAAAGTGCATGTGTGCTCACTGGATCCAAGGGAGGAGAAATCCATGGCCTTTACTTCCAGATCCCAAGCCATGATCATATTGCAGTAAGTGATCCTAAGCACAGCCTTTTTCATCTGCTCTGTCTGCCTGTGTGTGCCTTATTGATGACTTCTAGCAGCCTCTTAGATAATGCTAACCAACATACCCACCTGCTAAAGGATTTCCATCAAACTAAGGCTCTGGGAATTATTTAGACTTCAGCTCAGACATGGAAAAAGGAGATGGATCTATTTTTAGTGTGATAGTCCATAGAGAGGCACTAATGCCAATTTCAGTATGATGAGTCTCTCCCAAGTTCTGCAGCTGACTGGTTCATGGTAGGGGGTTCCTGTATGTGTGGGCAATATGATCTTTGTGACATGTCATCTTTGAACACGTCTGGAGTTCCCACGGTTACTGCATGGGAGCAGATCACAGCAAGTGAGTCTGATGAAGCCTGTAAGACAGAATGAGAACTGAGGGGCAGCAGGCATAGAGGACAAGCAGGGACTTGTGCAGGGTGTAGCTGTGCCTTAAGATCACATAAGTAACTCCATGTTTCCCTTCCCTGTTTACATGCAAGTTAAGGTCTCCATTCATCCACCCAAGATCTAAGATCAGTCTCACAAAGACCAGAGATTCCTAAGGAAGAGGGACAAAGCCCCAAAGTCCCCACTGCCAAGGCCAGTACTGAGCTGTGCTCTTTGCCCTGGGTATACCACAGCAACCCCATCAGGCTGAGGGTCCCCCTCGCCCACTCCCTCTCAGAGGAGCTGACAACCAGCTCTGTGGCTGTGTTGCTTCACGATGCAGTGGAGACAGTCCTACTGGAGAGGGCTTACCCACAACACAGAGCAGCCCCCCTGTGCACCAGGCACATCCCTGAGGAGCTCCCTGGCAGCTCCCTGGACAGAAGGCTCATACATCTCGCTGGCTGGCATCCCCTGCTCCTTCTTAATCTGAGGGAGCACCCCTATCAAGGTCAGGCCTCTGCTGCCCTTCATGGTATTTTGCAGCTCCCAGCCCCACTCCTGCCTCAGTCCTCACACTGTGTCAGCAAAGAAATTTCACAGGCAGCTGAGAAGTGCTGAGATCAAAAGTATTTCTTGCCTTGGGGCTTAGATTTGGAATTACTGCCTTGACCATAATCTCAGCTCTCCTGATGTCCCCTCTCCTTAGTTCCACCGTGACATTCCTAGTTTAGCTTTACTGTAATCCTCCAAAGATCACACATTCAATCATACAATTAGATAATACAATTAATAATAGGAAACAAAGATTTAACTTGGGAGCTTTCTTTCCTCTGGATTTTGAGTCTGTTTCTTCAGTTTTTCTCTGCAGTTTTCTGATCTAGAAATGTGTTTTCATGGAGAGTCTTGTATAATCACATGGTTCTGGGAGCTGGACACCAATCTCTGGGAGCCCCGCTGTGGAACTAGAGATCAAATGCATAATAAATAAATGTAATTTTGATAGCTCTTGTTATTACAGCTTAGTCTAAGAAAAACACAGAGGTTTTCAACACATACATACATACATACACTTGCCTATGTATGCACACATCCTCATCACATCTTTCTGCCAAATACTATGTAAAATGTCACAAGCTCAGCACACATCTCTCAGCCCACCCCTTGGAGAGCAGAGCAGCAGTGGGATGGGGACTGATCCCAGCCATACAGAGCTGTACCCCACTCCTGGGAAATGGCCAGCCAGGAGCCCCTCGCACATGCTGCCACAGGGAACTGGTATTAGTCCACATTTTGGAAAGCCTCTAATGTTGGTGTCAAACAGGTGACCAAATAAGAGAAAGGAAGTTCATGCTGACATTCTGGGAGGTCGCTTTCCTGAGTGAGGGGCTGGGGTGAGGAGGCTTGCAGGTTTCACAGGGAATGCAGAAATCACCAGCAAGTCAGAGTGATAGGGGTGCTGTAGAGGTTGTGAGATCCTCACAAGTACATCAGATCTGTTGCTACATTCATTTTCTGCTTCAGATTGCCACGGAGGTATCACCCTCAGCCCCCTTCCCCAGTATCATGACCACATGATCCCACACCACTATGTGTTGTGAGTTTTATTAACACTGGATGCCTGGATGAGACCTCAGCCCCCAGCCACTGCACAGACACACTGGGCAGACATCAGGCCCGGCCCCGGGATAAATGCAGTGTCTTTCCAATTGTGCCGGCAGCGAGACGGTCCCCAGGAGGGGTTGGGAGCACCAAGGCTCTTCACCAGCCCTCCCAGCTCACCCTCTCTGCTGGTTCAGCCTGCAGCACTGGAGCTGCACACCAGAGCCTCCTGGGGCCGGCTGCTCGGATGTGGGACCGTCGGGACACTGTGCTGCTGAGCCTTGGCATTTCTGCTGGGGTGGGAGATTCCCGGAGGAGCAGACAAGCGCTCGGCAGCGTGTTGATCCCTTTGATCGCAGAGCATAAAGCACAACAGGCCAGCTGGTGACTTGTGTTCACTGTGGCTCTGGGCTCTCTCCGGTCCCCTTCAGATCCGTGTCGTGGCTGTCATGCTTTTCTTGTTCAAACAGTAAAACTTAACGATGCCTTTTCATCCTCGCCTTGCAGGGGGCTGGCTGCAGCCTGCCTTGCCCAGGGAGGGCGGTCTGTGCAGTGGTGGGGTCCTGCTGTCCCCTGCCGGGCATCCCCAGCACGGCCTGCAGTGCTGCCCCGGCTTTGGAGACTGCAGAGGGCATAATTTCCTCTTGTAGCAAAGGAAGGAATTTCTCTTAGGATTTTCTCTTCAGCTCTGCCGGTTATGTGACTTCAGGCAGCCCTCTGCCATGTTTTCCCCTGGCTCAGGAGCAGAGGGAGGCTTTCCAAGCTCACCTCAGGATGCTGTCAGTACACTCAGACTGGTTTGGAAAGCAGTGGACCTCTGGGGATACAAGGCAGAGTGAAACTCTTGCTGACTGCAAGGAGATATTCGTAGCCAGTGAACCCACAGCTGCAGTTCATTGGTGCTTCCAATGGACTGGGTGCATCTGCCATCAGCCTGCTGTTGTGACAGTCCATTTCCTCTCCATGGCAGTGACCTGGTGGATGGAGGGCACAGGGAGGTGGCACTTGGCACCACTGCAAAGGCTCTGGGCAGCCGCCTGCTGGCTCCCTGTCCTCTGGGGGACAAGGCAGAGCACTGGTGTCAGGCTGCCTTAGCTGGACACTCTGGTGGGGGCACCTCAGCTGCTGCTGCTCAGAGAGGGGACCAAGGCTACTGAGCAAGGCTACCTGACATAGTGGTTATAGCTGAGGGATGAAGAGAGGAGATGAAATATCAGAAACAGATTTCCAGAACATTGTCCAAGGCAGTTTGGGAACTGTTTTTGTACCTTGAGCAAGCTAAGTTTAGCATGTTCCCTTAGGTTTCTTCCAGAGCATGGTTTGTAGTACCCTATACCTTTGGATAGGATCTCCACTATCTGCAGCACTCTTGCAGCACCACCATTTTTGCAGAGACAAACATGAGGGGAGTGTGCTGCTCCCCTATATCCTTACTGGGGCAGCCAATCCAGATGCTACCCTGTGGCCTTGGTCACAGAAGAATGGCCACAGTGGTCGTGCCACAGCAAAAGTGACTCAAACAAAGCGTGAGTAGGGAGAGATGAAGACAGAGACTAGCATGACCAATGAAGCCATAATGCTGAGGTAAAATCCTCTCAAATCAACTCATACATCATGGGAAGCAGACTGTAAATGTGAATCCTGGCTGGCAGCCAAAGTGCAAATGGTAAGCCTCTGTGCAGGAGGAGTGCTTTAATGTGCTGTGGGGACCACTGCTGTTACGTGTCCCACACCAGCCTGTGCTGGTGCATAGGTTTTGCAATGTTGGTTACAGGCTATTAAACCCCTCTAAGCTCAGAAGTTGTCAGTCCTCTTCTGACTGCATAAACTCATTCCTATAAGCCTCACCAAAACACACCTTCATTAAGGGCATCATGTCCCCACTTGAACAGAGACAGAAGGAGAAGGGACTCTTCTACCAAGAAAAATCAAGTTCTTGTGAGGTTGCTTTGTAACTGCACAAGCCAAAAAAGTCCTAAGTGGAAGGAGCTGCTAAATGGGTATTGATACAAATGAAGTCTGAGGATACCAGTTCACTCCATGCTACCCTGCTGGGCACTGGTGAGAGAAACACTGAGTGTGAGAAACACCTAGTGCACCAGGAAGAGTGAGTGAAGGTATTATGCTGCCCCAGGCTAAGGGTCTCCCCACATGGAGGACAAGGACCCTCAGGAAGGCTAATATAGGCCCACTCAGAGGATGGAGGCTGGGTAGTAGCCAAAGGAACACAGGGAGGAGATGGAAAGTTTAAATTGTTAATGTATTAATCTGCTTTTTCCAAATAGATTCTGTTCCTCCGTGACCACCACCACTGGCACCCATATATTTACATTTATTTAAAACCCTAGGGCATGTTGCTTTTCAAAAGGTAAACATTGCTGTGAAGGGCACTTAGAAAAAGTCATTTACTTTCTGTGTGAGAGCTCAGTGAAGTTTCAGAAGAGTGCCAGAGTAAGAGTCCAGTATGCTGTACTGCCCATGTTGGCTAAGGGGACCCCCACCTCGGGAGGAGGCAGCAGCTTGCTGCCTTGAGCACTGCTGGATGCAGCTGAAGGATAGGTGGTCATAGCTCAGGGCTGCACTGTTTTCTGCATCTCTTCAAGCCTAAACTCATGGCTCTAAGTGATTCTGAAAGACTCTTTTATCTTTCTTTTCTCTATTTGCTTTTAAAGTACTTTCCTACTTTCCATATTTGTAAAGAGACACCTTCAATTCAATACATCAATGTTAAAAAAAGAACATGACAGCAAGGACAAAAAAAATCCAGACTCTTTGCACAACCTGAAAGAACCTGCACAACCTGTACAGCCTGGGAATCCCTGAGATTTGCTCAATTGGTTAGAACATGGTGCTAATAACACCAAGATTGTGGGCTCAATCCGTGTATGGGCCATTTACTTAAGAGTTGGACCCAAAGACCCTTGTGGATCCCTTCCAGCTCAGAATATTCTGTGAATCTGTATTCCGTAACCTCCTGGACCTTTAGGAAGTTTTGGTGATTACTGGAAGCAGAGGGTGCTCCTGGAGCCTGCAGCAAAGCACATTAGAGGGCATGGGGATCACCCAGTCAATGCCCAGCCATAGCAGGCAGTACAGCAGAGGTACCCCAGTGGGGTTTTTACTCAGCCTTTGTGTGACCTTCCCTGTTGGCTGCCTCTGATTCCACTCTCTTGAAGAGGAAGGCTCACCATTGAGTCACCAGTTGTGGAAAAACGGGTAGTTCCGTCAAACACCCGAGGTGGTGCAGGAGGACAACAGGAAATGGGAACACCCAAAGTGTGACAGTGCCACAAAGCAAAGACACGAGTTGGGTTTGCACCATTCAGCATTGCCCCTCAGGATGCTCGGAAAACCCTTCTCCTTTGGGCCCCTCCATTTCTCACGTGGAAAACGTGCACTGTGCTCTAACCTTGTCAGGATTGCCTGCTGCAAAATCTCTGCCACTCACAACCTTTTGAATGTCCAAAAATCCAGTATCAGCAGTTATTTACAGGAATCATGAACCCATTTCATAAGCTCAGGCATTTGGCTGCCCTGGGAAAATGTTGGTTTAAAACACAGACCAAGAACCCACAGAGGAGAAGCTGTCACTGTGTCCTTGGTACAAATCATCTCTACCCCCAGGACAAGACAGTACAGCACATACTGGCCAGTCTCAGCTTTGTGGTGTCAGGCAGGTGAGAAGGGATCACAGGGGGACAGGTTCAGCTGGTTGCTCCCTCCCTGCTAGGCTGGCTCTGAGTTGAGCATGATTCACACAGTCCCTTCCCCACAGCAGCTTCCCAGCCAGCACACCAAGGGGCAAGGGCTGCAGTGACTCTCCAGACTCCAGATGCAGCACAAGGTGAGCCCACTGACCTGTGAACCCACCACCCTGCTGGCACCTCACATCTCTGCTGCCCACTGGGACTGTGCTGTGCTCACATGACCCTCCTGCCAGGACTGCCACACTGCTGCCCACACCACCTCTCTCTTCCCTGAGTGGCAGCAGATGGGGATTGATGGTGACCTCCAGTGACATGTACCCTGTTCAAGCACAAAGGACTGTGGGGCTGAGGTCCAGAACAGTGAGTGTTTTTATGTCTTGTCCTTCAGATATATGTAGGGCTGCCCCTCTCCTGAGGCAGTGTGTCCTGCAGGGACAAGCCAAGGACCCCCAGGCTGTCTACCAAATCCAAAGCAAAGAGGTTAGAGTACCTGTGCAGCTCGTTCCATATGTTATGACACTTGTGAGACCCTGATGCTGTTCAAGTAGCTCTGGTAGCTAGAAAAACAAAAATGTATTTCGTTGGGGTTCCCAAAAAGAGAAAATCACATCTCTCTTGCTATGACTGTCCCAAGTCTGTGGGACCCCTCTGAATATGTTTGATCTTGCTCCTGTGATTGCATATCAGCACAGACACTTCTCAAGCTGTACTAGTTGGAACCTGGATGGTGAGCAGCAGCCATGGCTGGGGACTCAGCTGCAGGAGGCAGTGGGTCTAGGGTGCCCCTTGTGACTTGCCAGAAACATGCTGCTCTCTTGCCAAGAGCAAACATCGTCATCCTCACAAATGGTTAACCTGCCGGGAGCTGCACAGCACTAATGACTTCACATTCATTTAATCAGCTTGGGCTTCCAGAGCCTCCACCTCAGGAGCAGGGAAGGCCGTGCACCCAGGCACTTGGGGTACAAAGGCTCCCAGAGCTGCACCCCTGCCTTACCAATCATTAATCACCCCAGGAGAAGGAGCACGCGGCAAGCAGGAAAAGGCCGGGTGTCCACAGCCCCCACGGGAGCAGCAGGAAGCAGCGCTGACCGGTTCCCTGGGGTGGCAGCTCATTCTCTGACCACCCTCCCCTGGGAGGCCCTGTGGAGGTGGCCAGTCCTGCACACTGCCCTTTCCTTCAGGAAGGTCACTCAGTCCAGGGAACGAGAGGCTCTGCCTGTTTCTGGGAGCCGCTGGGCTACGTGTGAGGTGAGGGTTTTGAAGAGGAGTTTCTGTCTGGCTGTACCGCAGTCTTCATCTCTTCGCCATGCAGCACAAGGCATTTTGGAGCGTCCTGGAGTATACCTGCCGATTGCTGGGCATCTCCACTGCAGCAGGTAAGAGCAAATTCTCTTTGTCTTTGGCACTAAAAGGCACTGAGTGGGTGCTGGGACCTCCAGGCTGCCTCCCTGCCTTTGGCCAGCTGCAGCCACAGCCCTATCCTATGTGGGGGGCAAGCGAACTTGCTCACTTCTGCTTTGGGACCTAGGGTGGGAGAGTGCTGGGTGCCTGGACAGGCTCTTTCCAAATGCTGTGGGAGGCACAGTGAGACATCAGAAAGGAAGAGCCAACATTCGGAGGGCAAGCTAAAATATACATGAAAAACAAAAACAAATCAAGAAAACTAAACTGTATTCTTTTGAAACAGACATAGGCATAGGCAAGATGTGAATGCGACTGAAAAGCAAAATACTCATGGCTGTGGAAATCTACTGGGCTACACTGTGGGATGTGAAGATGAAGGAGGAGCTCCTTGTAGTGCACACCGTGAGATGTCCTGTGCCAGGCAGGATGGAGAGATTTCTGTCCCAGCCATCATGGCATAGTCACCATAACAGCACTGCTCTGCCTCTCTAGCAGCCTGTCAGGGAGCAGCTCAGAGCAGTCCAGGTTATAGCTGCAGTACAAACACCATAAACTCACCCACCTGGTACCTGGTGAGTTGCATCCTCTCACCTGCTGCCAGGTTGAGCAGACACACCCAAGTGCTTGGTTTCAGATGAAATGCAAGTGTTCTGAGCCAGGTGTCAGATAGTGACTCACTTGGGAGGATGGAACACCATCTCACAGGGAGCACCTCCAGATGGGACTTGGGGAATCAGCTAAAGCAGAGGGCTCAGGGGTTGACTCTGGCACTGCTGCTGACTAGCTATTATGAGACAGGACAGGCAGCAATCTCTGCCTCAGTTTCCCCATCAGTAAGCAGAGATCAAAGGGTCTGATTTGTCTAAAAGCTGGAGGGGTGAACCAGAAGTTCCTGGTGAGAGGTGACTTGAGGTGGTGCCTGTGGTTCCTGTTTCAGAACCCCAGGGATTTCAGAGTCAGACACTGCAGAGTAAGTCACAGCAGGCCCTCCTAACTTTGTATTTCCTTTATCAGCTGCAGACAGTCATGAAGAGACACTTTGCTCAAACCAGGGACACAGTAGAAAACACATAGGTCAGCTGAAGTGTGCGCAGGTTCCCAAGGACACAGCTGGGGTGATGGAGGCTCTGGAATGTGCTTTAAAGGACTGATACTGATAACAAGCAGAGATCTGAGTTTATACAAACTCACAGTAGATAAGTGCATGTCATGATGATACTGCAGCAGTGGGAGATGGGACACAGCTTTAATCAGAAAATGCAGATCTGTTCATTTCTTCATCCCTATCCCTTTGGGCCCCCATGAGCCTCACACTGGTCATATTCTCACTTAAAACTCCAAGGAAACGCATGGAGACCTTCCTGGGAGAAAATGTGAGCTTGTTGTCGAGAAAAAACTAAAACAACAAAATTGAAAGTAGCATACAATGTAGAAATGTATTAGTGGAATATCATCTTTCTCTCCTGCATGGTTTTTTTTCATCATTTTGCAGCATCTGCACATCTTTCTTTATTTTTTTTTTAAATGAGCAATGCAGTTATCTGTCAGATTAACATCACAGAGCATAGAGAGCTGCACTACAAGTTGTTGTGCTTTTCCATAGCTCTGGTGCATTCCCAGTATCACCTGACTTTCCCAAAAGGCCTGTGAAGAATGGGATGTGCCTGTGTTTTATTCCTCTGTGTGTTTCAATGGGGTAAGAAATCAGCTTGATGCAGTGTTTAGTGCCTGATGAGGTGTGTGAGGCTTTTGAATGAAATGGAAACCATGCTGAAGAAATTCCCATGGGTTTTGTTTGAAAAAAAAACCTATGAAATGGAGAGTGCATCAGCCTCACTAATTGATTCTGAGAAGGCCTGGCCAGTTCCTTATGCTGCTAGTAAATACAAGTTACCCACATAATATAAATCTCCCCTTCCCCCAAGATCTTGGAGTGTAATGGCTCTCTGCAATGGTGAGGCTGCAGGGCTTACTTTGTATCAGAAAATGGCTAGCTTTTCTTATGGCAAGTTAGCAAAGAGTCGTCAAACAGCCCAGTGATTTGCTGCAGTGTTTGCAGCATCTCTAGTTCAGTGAATTTAGGCCTGTGATTTTTGCATCTAGGAGAGAGTTCCTACTTATTTCTTAATTCTCATGCTTTCAACCATTTAATTCCTAATCATGTGCCTTTAGCCACATGGTTTGGACAAGATCCAAATCAAGGCAGCGACTAGTCCAAACAAACACCTCGAAACAGCTCTTTTCTTCTTGCAGATTCTTCATCCAAAGAGCTTTGTGGATAAAGCAGAAGCTGTGCAAAAGGAGGAAATCTCCCCATCCAGAACAGAGGCTTGAGCTAACAGCCAAGCTATAGAATTGTGCATTCATCCACAGGGAATGGATGAATGAATGAATGAATGAGAATGAATGAATTCCACATCTGTAGGGAAGACTTATACAAAATGGTCTTCAGTCACAAGATAGTAAAAGACAGTACTTTGCACATAGGATTGCACAGCTCTTGCAGCTTCACAGCCTTCTGATGAGACTGATTTTCCTGTGCTCTGCTCAGGGCTGGAAAGGCAGTGTAGAGGAGTGACACATGGGCCCCATGTGTTCCCTTGGCTGACCAGGACCAGCAGCTGCAGGACACACAGGGAAAACATAGATATTTTTCTGCCCAGATGGGAAAGCTGACCCTTGGCATTGGCCTACACTGCAGTCTCAATGGACACCAATCCATGTTTTTGTTTGGGAGCCTGGTACCCTTCTCCAGGTGGGGAAAACCACAGCTCAGAGAAATGGATCCAGCCTGCACCTCAAACCTTGGCCAGTGTATGTGGGACAGGACCAGTGGTGAACTTCCTGAGCACCAGTGGATGGGTGGGGACTGCTCAGTGAGGGGTGGAGACATCAGGTGCAGACAGGACATTTCCCAAGGCAATGCTCTGGCTATGAAACCTGGGCTTCATTCAGCCCCACACTACTGACACTTGTGCCCTATGAATTGGCATGTACTCACCAACTTGCTGCAGCTGGTGTGAGGCATTACATTTCTGCTCCATTTTAGAAATAATCTTGAAGGGAATTGAAGGATGTTGAAGGAAATTTTCTGTCCCCTGAAGCTATTGGCCAATCCATCAAAGATTTTAGCCTTGCTAATACTCTTAATCCCTCTAAAACTGACTCCCTGGTGCTCTGTACTGGCTGAGGCACTGAGAGAATGTTCATTCCCTGTTTTTAATCTGCCTGCTCCCATTATATGTTTTTTTGTTTGGCTAGCAAAGGATCCTGATGCTATGGCTACAGCCCTTTTTGAAGGCAGCTGGCACAGTTCCCCTGCTCTGCAGCCACATGTTGGGTGCAGCAGGCCTGGACAAGCAGGGAGGCCAAGGCAGAGGGGCTGGCAAGCATGGGGAGACCCTGATAGAGAAGGATGGGGCAGTGGGCCCTGTGGCAGCTGAGATGTGCCACTATGGCAGAGGGTGGAGTGGTCACAGGATGCTGCTGCTCACCTCCCCCAGCTGTTCAAAGTGAGCTGGTATTCCCAGAGCACCTTTCCCCAGCCCACGCAGTGGCAAGGCTGGCATAACAGGGGTGCAGCAGGGATGGATTTCAGGGCTGTATGTCAAAGGCAGCACTCAGCTCTGACTCTTCTGGGCTGGTATGTCAGCATGAATCACTGGTGCTGGCAGTCCTAACATGCTGCTCTGCATGGGCAAAGCTGCCTTGCTAGCCCCTGGGGAAATGGGGACATCTATCCTGGGAACTAACCCAGGGGAACTGAGAATGATCCCTGCAGTCAGCATCTTTCCTACCTTCTCTTTCTAGTGCTGATCGGTGTGGGTGTAGAAACTCTGCAGCGAGGACAGTTCAAAAGCCTGGCTTTCTACCTGCTGTGAGTATTTTTGCCCTTGAAATCAGAGCTGGCAGGGGTGACAAGGTCAACCCTTCCACCATATATAACACCAGACTAGACTGTAACAGCAGAAGGGAACAGTGTCCAAGGCTTTGGGTATTTCAGTTCTCCATATTGAGGTTTCAGAAAAATCAGCTATTTCTTTTAGAAAAAGAGATGCTACTGCAGACTTAGGCAGGCCAGAGGTGACACTGGCTGCAAGCTGACTCCCCAGGGGCAGAAGGGCTGTGAGTTTTCCTCCACAAACCAGATGAGCAGAGGGTGTTCAGACTCCAACACATAGACTGTGGTGAGAATTGGATAGTAAATTCTGGCCCTCTGTGTCTTTTCTGCCCACCTGGAGAACATATCAAATACAGCCCTGCTCCCCTGACAGCTCCACCTTTCAGTTTTTCAGGGGTTGCAGTTACTGTCTGTGAAGGCTTCTTCTTTATCAGTTTGTTCCTGGAGATGTGCTTCACGTGAGTAGACCCTGCCCACTACTCTCCAGCCACGGTGGGACCTCCCAAAGGCACCTTGCCCCTTACAGGCATCACCAGATCTGGGGGAGCTGCAAGTGCCAGACCAAAGGTCCTGCCCCTAATGCCAAGGCAAGTGCACTCAGATGGGGGGAGGTAAATGGGCCCATGTACACAGCCATTTAAACCTGTGTTTTAACCCACGCTTGTGCCTTAATTTCCTGAGCATCAGCACAACAAACCCTGGTCTTCAGCATGTGCTTAACACAGCGAGTAGGCACAAGGCACCAGGGTTGAAGGAAGAGCCAGATCCCCAGGGTGAGGCTCAGCTTCCTTCAGCGACAGTATAGAAGTTAAAGTTAAAATGTAGACAATCTTTATGCCCTTTTCAGCAGCTGAGCACCACTGCTGTCTTCTAGCATAAACTCAAAAATCCTCACAGTTTTGAGGCAACACTTTACTCCAGATAATAGGCAATTGATTAGTGAGATGCTGAGATGCTGGTCTCTGGCAAATGTGCTTCTCCCAACAGATGTTCAGGCTCTGCTTACTTTCCGTGAAAAACACACCCATCTCCTGACAAACCAGAGTGAGGGTCTGCACATTCTAGACAGGTCATGGTTAGGACCAGATCTCCTTGGCATATCGTTGGTGCCTCATCCCACAAGGACCTCTCTTTCTCTCCCCAGTCACAAGCCTGAATCCCTGTCACAGGCCTGCTGGAAGCGAGCTAGATGCCCAGGGAGCTTCCAGAAATTCCTGGGGTACACGCTGCTCTCAGTGGCTTGCTTCCTGCATCCCGTCCTCGTCTGGCATGTCACCATCCCTGGTGAGAAGCTTGGGTGGGCAGTAGTGCAGATGGAAGAGGAGTGCCATCTCTCAAGGGGTGGAGATGGGGATGTGGAGGGAGCTGGGCTGGTGGCCAATGGCACTGGGCTAGCCAGACCAAGCACTGCTTGGCAGGACCTTCTCACGTGCCAGAACCCTCAGCCAACACAGTCTTGTCCCCAGGGTCCATGCTGGTGCTCACTGCCCTGGCCTACTTCCTGCTGAGCAAGAGGAGGAAGAGCCCAGGGCACAAAGAGACACATCCCCAGGGAGGTCAGTACGTGGACCCTTCAGCAACTGAGGCAGCCCCAACCATCATTGGTGACACTGAGCAGACCTACACCTTCCACGAAGCCCAGAGGGAGCAGCACCGCTCGCTTCTGGGCCATATGAAGAGCATCCTGAAGGGCAGCAAGGACAGGAGCTCAGCCCCAGAAACTCCTGTCCAGCCAGCAGCCGTGCCAGTCCCTCGCAAGCAAGTGCACTTTCAGGAGAAGGTGGTGCAGATCATCCCCTCTGTCAGCGAGAGCTTGGAGGATGTGGAGAGTGAGGCTGAGGAGACCACATCGGACACAACACCCATCCTCACCCCACCTGATGCCCCCATCATCATCGCCCCTCTCAGCTCTGCTGGCCTCTTTTGAGCCCGCAGCAGGAATGAGGACAGGACAGACCTGCCACCCTGGAACAGATGCTCCAGCAGCCACAGGGCCCCAGGAGGGGGCCCTTTTTTGCCTTCCGTACTTTCGGGGTGACTCTCCAAGGGGCTGCCTGCACTCCCTGGTCCCACGCACTGTGGCAGGCCCAGGGGACAGGCGGTGGCTCAGCCAGGGCAGCGCCAGCACAGCGAGCGTTCTGCTGCCAAGGCCTCACACTTGTGTCACCCCTGCTGAGCACCGCACACCACTGCGGTGCTCCTGCCCGACACCACAGCCGTGCTGTGCCCCTCTTCTGGCAGCAACAGGCGGGAGGAGAGGAGACCTCGGTGCCCCGGAGCAGCCTCTGCTGGGGCCCCCGTGTGCCTCTGGCCCTCAGAGCTCATTGCAGAGCTCAGGGCTGGGCCGCATCCAGCGCAGGGCGCTGCAGCCCGCAGCTTCCCTCACAGCGCCTGCACCCGCTGCAGCAGCTTGAGACGTGCAAAACCTGTTTCCGAGCTGGGCTGAGACCAAGCATACCCCTGGCATTAGCACCTATTAGTACCTCCCCAGGCACTCTCTGAGCCCAGCAGGGAAATCATCTCCGGCCTTGGAGACACCTAAGCAGGAGCAGAGGCCTTCAGGTGTCCTCTGCTTGGACAGCCCTCTTGAATTAGAAGAATTTTGGGATGATATGGCAGCCCAGGTCCTGAGGTTCAGCAGCACGCTGGCACAGCAGACTGTGTGTGACTCCAATGTGTGTAATTATGGCCCCCAGAGGGCAAAGGCAATAATAAAATTACCATACTGTCCCACCCGTTTCTTCCATGCCAGCTCTTCTCTGAACAACTCTGGCTTAATCCTGGCATAATTTCTGCCTTTCAAGGACCATTCAGTCATAATCCAGCATTTCCCTCCTATTCAGCTCCCATCTGAGTATGTGGGAAGAGCTCAGGTGGCTGGGTTCCCTTGGACATGGTTCAAGAAGCCACACTGTCACTGCTGTTGGGATGAAAAGCTATAACTGCTCTGAGCCCAGACACAGAGCACTGGGGGGAAGTGATGGTCATTAGAGAAGGTTCTTGGGACCTGCTAGACTATTTATAAGGTAGAAGCCAATCAGCTGGGTGTTTTTCCTGTAAATACATTATTTCTTCTATTTAAGATCTCGTCTCTTCAAGAGACAATCACCATGTTCATTTAGGAAAGCAGGTCAAAGTGTAATCAGAAGGCAGTTGAGATAAGAAACCAGTGCTACTTTCTAATAAGCTCTTTCTAAGTGACTTCTAATTTGTGATATGGATCAGGAAGATGAAAGATATTGACTCACAATGTTTGACTGCCTGTGTTTCATAATGAAACTGTTGACAGGAACAGTTTATGAAGGGTTGCACACACTTATCAGCCCTACAATGAGACAGACAAAAAGTTTTTTGTTGCATCACCAACATAAAAAGTAGCTGGTATCAATCTGCTCTAAGCGTGATACATGGATTAGAGACCTCCTGTTTCTGGCTACAGAAATTAACCTTCCACCCTGTCATGGAGTGCTGGGGAAAAGTCATGTACACATGTGCCTTTAGGGTGGATTTGCACCTGTAGAAATATCTTCAGAAAATTGCACCCCATTGACACTGCACAACTGATAGCAGCAGGCCTAAGATCCAATCACAGCTTCACCCTCAGCCTGGTGTATTCATTACATTACATTAGGAGATAAAAAAAAATAAAGCTATTTTCCTCTAAAGCTGGTGACAATCATATCTGCACCAATCAAGGTCCCAACCAGTTATGCTAAAAGGATAAACACCCTGGTGTCCTCTGCCCAAAAAGGCAGAGCTGGCTCCCCAGCTTGACCACACATCTGCTCTGCAATTAGACCCACTTTCATTAGCAAAGCCCACTTTCTGCATCATCCAAGGCTCTTCTTGAAACATTGCATAATTAATTGCACACAGGGAAATAAACTTACTTGAAAAGGCACTGCTCCCAATATATTGAGCAATCTGCTGACAAGAGAAAGACGGTATTGCTGTAGACTCTTCTAGCCCTTAGCAAAGCTCCTGGGCATCCTAGGTGGGAACAGATGCTCTGCCACAAATTTCATTCTTCAGCCCTTGATCAGCCAGCCCCATGATTTGTACCTATGGGACATCAGGGCCAGCTGGCAAGGGGCAAAGCAATGTGGTGACAGCACCTTTGGAACTTTGAAGTGTGTAAGGAGCAAACTTCATTGTTCTGTGAAGTGCTTAAAATGCATTTGCAGTTGTTAGAGTCTGCACAATTAGGTTTCCATTTTCAGGCTTATCTTTTAAAAGTTAGTTGTAGGTTTCCCTTCAGAATCAAGACTGGAAGAAGCTACAGGTAAGGTGTTCTTTCAGGCTTCATGGAGCCAGCATTGGACCTGGTTGCTTTTCTGGCATTCTCCCTTCTGTTGGCCTGGTTCTTCTGCAGCCCCACAGCTAGCTGGCTCAGGAAATAAAGGCTGGAGAAAAAAAAACAACACTTCTTGTCTTTTCTGTGGTATTAAATTGCCTGTTCAGTAAAGGTGCGTGGCTGACTCACCCTGGAGTCTGCCAAGAGCCTGCATCCATGCTGGGAAAGTGGCTGTTCCTTCAGAGGCAGACAAGCTGTACCTCAAACAGCACCTGAGCTGCTTCCCAGGTTCTCCCTGCTGAGGAGTCCATTTGTACATCCCCCCTCTGCTCCTCACCACACCTCCCACCCCTGGTGCCACCTTTCAGCTCCATCAGCATACAGACCTGTTAGCCCAGAAGAACAATAATTAGGAAAAAGAAAGCAGGTGACTATCTTCTTGGGTAATGAGCCAAATAAGTTCAGGGAGGGCCAGCCACAAATGAAGGGGATGGGGGATAAAAGAATCTCTTTCAAAGTCAGCAGGCTGTTAGAGCAGCTCAGCTGCTTAAAGAAACAAAGCCTCAGGCTTTCTTTAAAACCCAGTGCAGAGGAAATGTTCAGCCTCAGGGGGTGTCAGATGACTTTACAGAGGCCTCAGAGATTATTCACTCGAGCATGCACTTCTCTGTTGGCCCCACTCCCTACATCTAGCTGTGAGAGCAATCCTAGGGGCTACTGAAAGCATCTATAAGGGGTTGAGGGGGGTCTGTATGAGAAAAGCTCTCATATATGTATGGTAATTGCAGAGAAAGAAAAAGACTGAGAACTTGATGCTATTAACTGTGCAGTGTACTGTGTCTGAATATGAGCTGCCTGAATTTTAAGTCCACACACCACTACATGAACTCTGCTATGTAATTTTTGCCTGCATTGCAAAAATTCATTACTCAGCTGGTCCATTGAGATTAATCCACTGAGTTAGAGTGCATAAAGCTATAAACTCCTGTGGATTCACATACTGAAAGGAAATGAGATGAATCATCCAAAAGAAATACATGTGTAAGGTAAAACTCTGTGAGGTAATCCTGGCAGAAATTGTTTCCTTCAAAATTTCCACCAAAGATTCCTCTTCATCAGGAAAAATTTTCCTGCTTAACATGTGAAGTGGAAACACTCTATAATGCTACTTGACAGTCCCCATTAAAATGTAGGGAACGGGTATGTTGCAAGCAGTATTTCATTTAAGTTTTATATGCAGGAAAACCAGATTTTGGTGCAAGCTTCACTTACAATTCCTCTCTTCTTCCAATGCACAAGTAGTTGTTGCAGAGCCCTGGAGACAGGCACACTACCTGCCCCACCACAGTGCTCCCACCTCACACCAGGGACTTGGATAGTCACCCTCCTAACTTGCTAAATCCCCACAGGGACTCTGGTCCAAGTTTCTCTGGGTGCTGCTCCATATTTGAAACATGGAAATGAATGTTTTACTCAAACAACATCAGTGTTAGGGAAATAAGGCACACTTGGATAGAAAAGGGTTCAATTTCTGCAGTGTCAGTAATTAAAATCAAACATGCCCTGCTTGAGCCTGTAACTGCAACAGTAGCAGTTACAGGCTCATCACAAACTGATGTGTAACATCAGTTACACATCAGCAAACAGCACTATCAGCATCAGTGGCATTGGTGGCTTCTAATTCAGTATTGAGTCATATCCACATGCGGGAGAGGACCTGTCTCCACTTGATTCCAAATGCTGAATGCTAACACACCTGCAACCCTACCACTGTTCAGCCCTGCACCTTCTCCTATCCCAGCCAGGAGATTATCCCGTGTGCTGGGACAGAAAGGCAGTTTCTGTTTTGGCTGGCCTCCTGCATTTTGTGCTGTGAGGGGAGTTACAGAAACCAAAACTAGATCCTAAACCTGCCTGGGATTGCTTGGAGATGTCAGTTCCCTTGTCTGCTTGGCATGATGCAAAAGCAGGAATATGACTTCCACATATCAGCTGACATAACACTGCTGAAATGGCTGCATAGGTTATATGCTAAAGAATGTTTGAGGTACCACTTGGATTCTAATTCTAGGCAATTATTCACTCAGCATGTGACTTTATTGAGTTTTGTTTTGAGGATCTAGGAAAACACCAGGAACCAACCCAGGTCTTTGGATCACAGACTAGAGAGGGAATCCATATGTCAGACAGGAAAAAAAAGTAAATAAAAAGTAAATAAAAGGGAAGAGTAATGTTTATTGGCAGCTCCTCCTCATCACATCCTGGACTTCCTACAGCTCAGGAGGAAGTTGTGAACAGCGTCTTAATGCTAATCCCTATTCCACTTTCATCTCTTCCTTCTGCCCAGCCACTTATTCACTCCAAACTTTTCCCCTCCAGAGCACTATTTAAAAGGATATACTGTCCTGATCAAGTCATGCTAAACAAAATTACATGCACTGTGATATAATTTCATAATTCCTTTCTGTACCTCCCTCTCCAAAACTCCTCAGTTAGAGTAGCTGTGTTTGGTACTCACCCAGATGCCCAACCTTGCCTGTGGGCCCCCAGCCCCCTGCTGGCACCTGGATCCCCACTGCCCCCACACTCCCTGCAGAGACACACTTGCAGCTGCAGCTTTAGTGAGGCTTTCAACACTGCAGAGGGGGCTCACATCTTCCAAACTGTGCCTAGAAGGAAAGGAGGAAGAAGCCACGGGAATGTGCCCAGAAAAGAGAGACTATATGGCAGCCCTAGCTAATTTGTTATGTTTTTCCAGGGGTTTTTTTGGCAAACCTCACCTTCCAGCTCCTGATGCCTGCTGATGCAGTATGTAAAAAAAAAAATAAATAAACACATTTTAAAAAAAACACACTTCTGTTCCGGTAAAAAAAGCATTTAGATTTTTCTTAGTAATGTTTTTGCTAGACTGCATTACTTCCTTCAAAAGCATGAGAAAGCAGAAGAACACAAAAACATTCTATTGTGCATAAAACTGAGGGGAGGAAACTCTTCTACACAAGCTACTCTCTAAGCCATACTCAAGTAAAATTCTCTGGGGGAATTTGGTATAATGATACAACTTTTGAGTAGCACTCCATTTCTCCCTTTCAAGGTGGGGAGATTGGCTCTGAGTTCTTTATTACTTTATTACTTCTTTTACTTCTCTGCCTCTTGAGGAAACAGTCCCCAGCCCTTTTCTGTATATATAACTTTGCAGCAGCGTGGCAAGAAAGCTTGATCTGAGAAGTTCTTGGGGGATTTGACTTGAAAAGGAAATTGTACCCTTTAGCAGCACCTTTCCCTCAAAAACCCAGGCCCAGGCAGGAAAGTGAACTCCATCTTATTCATCTCTAATTAATGATTATTCCATCTCAGCATCTGTTTCTCATGCAAGCATCTGCAAGCTCAGAGGAAATTATCAGCTGCAGAAATGGATATTCAGTGTCTTCTCCAGCATAGATATGTTACATGTTTCACATTGGGACTACATGTTGTGACAGTGTAAAAAATATGACAGTCTTACTGTCAACATCTCTCATGGAAGTGCCCTAAGAAAGAAATTGCAAACAAATTCTTGCTGACTGGTTTGGAAATGGAGAAGGCTCTGCTTTTGTCATTACTTTTCCTGGCTCTTATCCAGTACTAAAATACTGAATTTCTATTATAACCATTTTATCAAGCTTATTGTTTCATGTTTTCTTCACTTCCAACTAGTTATCACAGACACAAACGTTTCCTTATTCAAGCTTATTCCTTCTAAATCAAAATTTGATGTCTTTTTGTTTTCTACTTACATAGCACTTTCAACCATAGAAAAACTGGCACAAAATGGCAAAATATTTTTTGCTTTATGTTCCACAGCTACATTTAAGTATGCCCCAAACCAATTAATTTCAGTGCTGCTCATCCTGAAACTGTGGCACAGGTATGAATTACTTCATCAATATTGTGTATCTAGACAAGGTACCATGACAGATCATGTCAGACAAACTACCAGACAAGGCAAAGTAAAAAATACCGCATGGAATTGTATTGCCATGGAAATTCTATTGCAGACGCTGTGCTGGCTCTGCTCCAAAGCAATGTCCTGTGTGCCATTCTGGACAGACTCTCTTCTTTCTTGTCACCTGCTTATAGCTGTGAAAATCCTTGTGTGACCTGTGAAATGCGCATGCAGCCACTGCACTCTGCACTGCACGGAGCTGCCATGCACAAGCTGAGCTTTGTTACTCAATACCTTTTTTGAAAAAGTAATTATTCAAATAACTGTCCTACAACCATCTAAGTCTGTAAAACAATTGAAAACAAAAGTGAAAGAAAAATCACATTGAGCAATGTCTTAAACCTTTTTTGTAAGACTTCAACCCACATGTTACTAGCATTTGGATCAGCCATTCCAATGGGTGATTTTTCTTATTAAAAATATTTACATCTCAGGCAAGCACAGTCAAAATTATGAGTTGAATGGAATTCAGTCAAAGCTAATTTCAAGTAGAAAATCAGCAATGATAATTGTTAAGTTTTACAGAGCTTTCCCTTAACAGCAATTAGAAATTACAAGTTAAATCATATTTCTGAAAACATTAATCTCTTCTATAATGATTTTAATGCTGTTGTTGCTAAGATGAAAGATAATTTTAGTAGTAGAATTTTGCCTTTGTTCTATCCTTTTAAGGAAAAGTTGGCCATCTATGAAAAGCTTTCTTGTGAAGCTGAGTAGGTGTGTACATGACTCAATACCTGTGCAGAACAGCTGCTAAGAAGAACTGAAGCCAAGTAGAATTTCTGTTTTACTATACTATGGTTTATATTTCATTTGATCTATTTAATCATGTTCTAAATCTGATTTATTCAAAGTAGTAATGGGAAACTTTAACAGACCTCTGAGTTTACAAGCCTATAAACTCACTCTGCCCTGGATGAATCATTCATAAATGGATGTGTATGAAAAGCAGGAGAGGGCAAATGGAGATTGCTTTTTTCTTCTCCCTGAGCAGAAGTATGGCAACATGTAGTTGAATTAGGAACTAAAATTGCTCATATATTAGGAATGTCTTTTTCCTCTTCAAAGACCAGAAGGCAGATTCAAAAAGCACAAATATATAACAAACATAGGCAAATATGGATACACGATGATTCGTTGCCCTGTATAACTTTTCCATCAGCTTTTAAATTCTGAGATGGCTGGAACACTGTGCAATACTCTGCTGTTGCAGCATCGCTGGGTGGTTTTGTGGCAGGAGCAGCAGGACAGTGTGCATCACTCCTCGTGCAGAGGGAGGTCAGTGCATGGGACAGTGAGCATGGCACGCCAGGGTGTGTGTGGGAACAGCTTGTCCTTGTAGCACCCTGACTGGAGCAAACCAGCTTTTCCTCAGCTCTTCCAAGAGATAACACACCTTCCCATGCTATGATTGTATTGAGCAAACCAGGTTCATCTTATATGACCACCCCTATCT